CGAGAGCAGAGCAACCGCCGCGTCAGCTGTGTCCCCTCCAGCGCGTCCCCACCCACCGTTCGCCAGGGTTCAGAGCCCCTGATCAAAATGTCAGCGCCGCGGTTGTGGTTTCCACCCGGCAGAGGCCCCGGCGCTCTTTTTCCAGCTCAGGGAAGCGGAGCGGACACCCAGACTCTCAGGCTCCGTGCTGCTCCTGGCGGCCCTTCCTGAAAAGCGCCGCGGGCTGGAGCAAGGTTTTGTATTTAAAGGTACAAAGCTCAGTTTGGGCTCCGGAGAATTTACTAGCAGGAGAAACCGTTTTACCTGCACCCTGTCTGTGTTCACCACTGCATAGGTGAGATGAGTGAGTCCTTTCAGTCTTTAGAGTTTGGTGCAGCATGGCCAAATACGGTAAATAAGCCAAGTGAAAAACATCCCGGATACTTACTTTTGAAAGAAGTTTTTTATTTATTATTATGTTTTAAAATTTGCCATAGGGCACCTACGCTCCATAGAGAGAGTCAGAGGAAGACAGAAAGTGAGAATGGAAGCCACCAGGTTCAGGACTCAAACCGCTGTCTACTCTGTGGGGGTCCAGTACCTCAACCACCACACTGCTGGCCCACCCCCAGGAGTTACTTTGTACCTGTATTTTTAGGCTGTAAACATGTCTTGCTCCACATGACACCCATTCAGGTTGGATTATTAGATGCTGTTGACCATAAGTCAAAATGTCTGTGAATACCTTGTGATCTGTGTGGTCACCTTAGAGATCATTTCATGTGTCAGGAGGTCAAAGTATCCTCCTCAAATCCAGAGCTAAGAAAAAAATAATTCATGATTGTTGGATATAAACTTGAAGATTTTGCCCCTTGAATATGCAAGGTTTCTACCCTTGTATTAGTGAAAAACATTACATTCTAATATCTTTAAATTGATGTGTATTTAAAATACTAAATTGTTGACTTACTCCTTTTGCCTAGGTCCCTATGTTGACTAGTCGAGACAAAAATAAATATGGCCTTCTACAGTTCTAATTCGGTCTTAGTTATTGCCCGAATAAGGTAAGCATTGACATTTCCACCCTATACGAATATGAACGTCATTCTTCCAAATGGAAGGCTATGTGTAAAAAGACTGCACAATGAAAACTGCAGATTTGGGGCCAGCCGATGGCATGGTCCTTAACATGGCTGGACCCCATATGGACAGCTGTGTAATTCAAATCCTGGACCAGGTGGCTTTAAAAACACGCCAGCCAGGCACATGTGCGTGTGTGCCCAAAATCCCGAGGAGGATGGAAGAGAAAGGATTGTGGAGTGGTCCCACTGCTTGCAGCAAGCACCCCTGGGTGGGATGGGGAGGGTGCTTTCTCACGTTCCCTCTCCTTCACTCTCTTTATCTCTCCCTCTCTCTTCCCCTGGGGAGCACATGTGCCCTGTAGCAAAATTTAAAAGAAACTGTGGGACTAGAAGGTTGTGTAGTGGTTAAGGAGCTGGACATCTCCACATGGCCAACCACTGTTCAAGTCCTGAACCTGGTGGCTTGCTTTCTCACTTTTTCTTTCTCTCTCTCTCTGTCTCTCTCTGGTCACATTAAAAAATGAATGAACGAATTAAAAAATAATAAAAAGTAAATAATTGTTTTAAAGTTTTTTAAAAAAGAAACTTTGTTAGCTTTTAGGAAGCTGATGTTTTAATGTACTTGAACTTAGCCCACATTTTTCTATATGCTTCAGAACTTGGGCTGAGTAATTTTGTGGCTGTGTAGTACAGGTGAGGCAGGAGAGGGAATGGTTTTATTCATGAATGAATGCTGCACGAAGTCCTTCGGTGTAAACAGGAGTAAAATGGCTGGTGAACAGCCAGTCCTAGGGCCTATTTCTGCCCCATTAAGACATTCTGTCACTTACTTATTCCGAAGAATATTCATTGGGAACTTACCAAACGCCAGATACGTTCTACACTTTCTGTTTTGGCCAGTGAGTGTTACCTTGGCATGCTTCAAAAATAGTCTGAAAGAATGGAAAAAGTCTTCTTTGCCAAAAGAACTCTCTTTGCCGGTAATTCTCTTTGCCTGGCTCTGTCTTACTTTGAGTTACAAACGCTGATGTGCTAATTTAACTGAAGACTGTGGGCTGTGACAATACTAGAATGTAGAGATCCTTGGCTAGGATGCCCAATTCTAATTCTTTTTTTTTTTTTTTTTTTTTTTTAAGTTTCTTGCTATAGGGCACATGCGTTCACCAGAGAGAAATGCGGGTAGGGGAAGGGCCACGCCACAGCCCCTTCCACAGTCTCTTGTGGTTTTGGGCATGCATGCGCATGTGCCTGGTATGATTTTCAAGCCACTAGGTCCAGGACTCGAACCATACAGTAGGCCATGTGGGATCCAGCTATCTTACCCTCCATGCCACCTGGTGGCCCCTAATTCTAACTCTTCTTCCTAACATTCTGGAGGGATCTCAGGTTGAGCGCATTTCAGGGGTCTGAAGTCACTACATACACATGACTGGTTCATTCCCACAGGGACCGTGAAGTGATCCATTGAAACATCCTTGTTATCAATAGAGTGCCTGAAGACACAAGTCTTCTGACTTTTATGATAATAAGAGACTACACGATCAAACATAATCTCTGGTGGAAAGATGTTTGCTATTAGATTATTTTCTTAGTTCCTTTTTTTAAAAAAAGAATTATTTATTTAATTTTGTTTATTCATTTATTTATTTTAATTTGATCACAAAGAGACACTCACAGAGAGAGAAGGAAGGTGAGAAAGCAAGCCACCAGGTCTGGAACTCAGCCATGGTTGGCCATGTGGGAGTGTCCAGTGCCTTCACCACCACGCCAGCTGCCGGCCCCTTTTCTTTTTGCTATAGAGCGCATGCTCTCACCAGAGACAGAGAGCGACAGAGAGCTAGGGAAAGTGAGAAATCACCTCCCCAGGGCAGATGGGCATGTTGTAACCCCTTCATCATCCTCCACGGGGGATTTTGAGCAAGCATGCACATGCACCAGGCATGACTCAAACTGTGGAATTGGCCATGTGGGATTCAGCCTCCTTAACCTCCTTCCCACCTGCTGGCCCTGCTATTAGATTAAAAAAAAAACAACCAAAAAAAAATTGAATTGTTGCAGAACTTCTAATTTCTGATATAGCAGTTTATTGTTAAGAATTAACTTATTAATATCTCTCATAGAGTGTGTCATTCAACCATAGACATGCTGTTCTTCAACTGGGGTGAAAAGTTGTATTTCATTTATTAATGAACATCAGCTTCTCCTAAAATACAGCCTTAAAAGCTATTGTTCCAGGGACCAGCAGTTAGCGTAATGGCTATGTCGCTGAACTCCCATGTAGCTGACCGTGGTTCGAGTCCTAGACCCAGTGGTTTAAACTTACACCGGGTGTGTGTGTGTGCGTGCACAAGATCCCGAGAGGAGAATGGAGAAGAAGGGATTGCGGCGTGGCCATCCCCCCCTGGAGGTGATTTCTCTCTTTCTGTCTCTGTCTTTCTGGCGAGCCCACGCGCCCTATAGCAAAAACCTCTAAAAAAAAAAAAAAAGCTATTGTTCCATTTTCACCAAATAGAATACCTGTGTTTTAGCTTTTCATTTTGAAATGGTAAGTGCTCAACTCAGAGGACATTGCTCTTTCTTCCAGATTCCCTGGCCGTTTTGTCCACCCCACCTGCTCCTCTTATTCCCCACGTGCGTTTCTCCACTTGCCAGATTCTCCTTCCGACGAGACTCACACGAAGCCCTGTGGAAGCAAGAGGCACTGCTGCCCCGGCCCAGGCCATGAAGCGCTGCACCTGCCCACGAGGCTCATGCAGAAGCTCCACACTTCACCATGCTGGCGGCGAGAGGGCCCTGCTAAACCTCAGCTGGAGCGAAACTCACAAAAGCCGCAGGTGACCAGCCCCCAGCCCACGAAAGAAACCGGCTCAGAGATTAAAGAAGGCCAGCGATCTCTCAGACAGAAAATTGTGGATGAGCTGAGATACTATTACAACGGGTTCCACTTGCTGTGGATCGACACGAAAGTTGCGGCCAGAATGGTCTGGAGGCTGCTGCACGGGCAGGTGCTGACCCGGCGCGAGCGACGAAGGGTAGGCAAGGCGTGTGTGAGACAGAAAACGTGAAGTCGCATGAACTGCTTGAGAACCAGGTTTTAAACACGTGTACTTCATCCTAGACCTTTCCAAAAGGAGGCCAGACGGTGGCACAGTGGTAAAACGAGGTGTTCTGCAAGGTTATCCCACATGGGAGGGTTATTGATTCGAGCCCAGAGGTCGCCTTGAGTACCCCAGGCATACGCTTGCCTGTGACCTGGTGCTGGCTGAAGTCTGGGGGTGGGTCCCAGAGCCAAGACCCCGTCTGGAGTTTTGGAGTTTTTTTTTTCTCTCTCTCTCTTGCTCATGGAGTAAGTAAATAAACTTTAAAGAAAAAAATCCCAAAGTAGGAACCAGTAACTGCTGATGAGAATCAGGGTTATTACTGAGTACCTTATTGCCCCCAATGGACTTGCTGTTCACTTTAGGAAGTATTCTTAGAATTTTTTTATATATTTGCCTATGAGATGGTTATAATCGCATTTTAAAAAATCTCTCCAAGGACTCAAGTCTTCAGGTTTGGTCTGTGGATCTGACATATAAGCTGTTGTTAATACATTTAAAAAATAATTATTTAATTTTATTCTTCTTCGATTTTACTAGAGGGGAGACGGAGAGGGACAGAACGGGAGAGTGAGAAAGCAAGCCGCCAGGTCTGGGACTCAAACCATGGGGCCATGTGGGAGTCCAGCTTCTTAACCACCATACCACCTGCTGGTCCTTACACATATTTCAGAAAATAATTTTTAACTTATACTATATTTTGGGTTTTTTTTAGATCATTTATTTTTTCCTCTATATTGTGTGTGCACTCATTGGAGAGAGACAGAGAGAGAGAAAGTGAGAAATCATCCCCCCAGAGGGGATGGCCATGCTGCAATTCTTTCTCCTGCATTCTTTCAGGATTTGGGGCACACACACACACACACACCCGGTGTGATTTTCAAGCTGCCGGGCCAGGACTTAAACTGCGGCTGGCCATGTAGGAGTCTGGCGCCTTCACCCTCTCTTTGTCTACTGCCCCCTTAAACCGATACTGTGTTATTCAAGCACAGAACCCTACCTTACGTGAGAGCTTTGGTAGGTGACAGATTGTCACGGATTACTTCAGAGCCGTGGCGGAGAGGCAAACCCCGCCCTTCCATTTCACGAACAGATGAAAACCTGTCAGGGTTTGCGATCACTTTAAGAACCATGCCGGCTTTCGGTCTCCCATGTGCTCATTTGGGGCGTGCCCTGACATAATGACTACTGCGTGTGCGTTTGATTCCTCAGCTGCTGAGAACCTGTGCTGATTTCTTCCGCCTCGTCCCGTTCATGGTTTTCATAATCGTACCCTTCATGGAATTCCTATTACCCGTGTTCCTGAAACTCTTCCCAGAGATGTTACCATCAACTTTTGAAAGTGAATCCAAAAAGGTATGTAGGGTTTTAAAACTAAAACCAAACAAACGTACAAAAAAAAGTAGACTTTGATTTCTAGAGCCTTTTTCAGGTTTATAGGCACATTAGGCAGCAAGTGCCCGAGATCCCTTATCCAATATACCACTCCTGCTGATCCCCTGGGCCCGTGTTCACGTGGCGCATTTGTTATAGCTAACCAACTCTTACACACTAGGGCCAATTCAGGCTTTACTCTGCAGAGGGCTCTCTGCCGTGCAGGTCTGTGTACGGGTTTGGGAGGCGCATCCTGCCGTGTGCCCATCACAGTTTCAGGTCCAGTCTGTGCGCTAGGAGCCCCCGGCGGTCCACCCGTGGCCTTCCCTCCTGTCCAGCCTCCCGGCTGTTACATCGCGGTAGTCAGTGTGTAGCCTTTCAGTCTAGCCTTTCACAGCGATTTACACTGAAAGTTCTTCCATGTGCTTTCATGGCTTGCTTCTTGAAGTTCATGAGAGAGAGAAGGAACTCTCAGGCAGAATTGTGTTTTTAAAAAATCTATCTATTTATTTATTATTCTTCAATTTGACCAGAAAGACAGAGAGAGAGGGAGAGAGGGAGAGGGAGGAAGCAAGCCACCAGGTCCAGGACTTGAACCATGGTCAGACGTGGCAGTCCAGTGCCTTCAGGAGCACACCTGCTGATCCCTGGACAGAGTTTTCATGCCACAATCCGCCCCCAGACTCAGCCAGACCAAATCACGGAAATGCACACACCCACCCAGAGCGTCTCGGGAACTTCAGGGACCGGGACCCAGGACCTTTCCCACGGGGCCCGGTTTTGTTACTTCCGCCCCGCTGCCTGGCCCCATGGCTGGACTCTCTCTACCACCCTGCAGTGGATTGTTGTGCGTATGTACCGCAGCCCGCCTGCTCAGTCACCTACCGAAGGACTTCTTGGTTCCTTTCAACCTCTGGCAGTCCAGAACCTAACTGCTGTACACAGTCGTGCTCAGCTTTGTGTGTGGGAATAAGCTTTCCCCTCGTCTGAGTAAATACCTGGGAGAGAAGATGCTGGATCGTATGGTCGGTCTATGTTGGGATTGTGGAGAGTGGCTAACCCGTCTCCCGAAGGAGCTGTGCCATCGTGCGTTCCCCTCAGGAAGAAGCAGTGGTGTGGCTGTGCCACCTCTTCCCCAGCACATGATGGCCTGTGACTTCCTAATAGCTGCCGTTCTCATTGGCATGTCGCGCTCGCTCATTGTTTTATTAATGTCTTTAGAGAATCATTTCATTTAAAAAATTTATTATTATTGTTTTTAAATTTGAGCAGAGATAGAGACATGGGGAGTGGGAGTGGGAAAGCAAGCCACCAGGTCCAGGACTCTAACCACAGTCGGCCATGTGGGAGTCCAGAGCCTTAACTACCATATCACCTGCTGACCCCTTGTTTTATTTTTTAGAGAGAGATATTTGCTATAGGGCACGTGTGCTCATCAGAGACACAGAGAGAGACATAGAGACATAGAGAGAGAAAGTAAGAAATCACCCCTGGGCAGAATGGCCATGCCGCAGTCCCTTCTCCCCCATTTTCTTCTTGGGATTCTGGGCACACTCACATGTGCCTGGAGTGATTTTCAAGTTGCCGGGTCCAGGACTCAAACCACGATTGGCCATGTGAGAGTCCAGCACCTTAACCACCATGCCATCTGCAGGCCCTCATTGTGGTTTTCAATTGCAGTTCGCTCATGGCATTGGATCTTGAGCATCACTGCCTATGCGTATTTGCGATTTCTACAACTTCTTTGAGAAGGTGTCTGTTTAGATCTCTTGCCCACTTTTTAATTAAGCTGGGATTTTTTTCTTTGTTTTGAATTCTTTCTATGTTTTGGATAAAAGTCATTTATTGGTATATAGTTTACACATAATTTCTCATAGTCTGTGGCTTTTCTTTTCATTCCCTTAACAGTGGCCAGAACAAACACCTGATTTTAATGAAGTCCACCGTCCTGCGTTCTCTTTCATGGATTGTGCTTTTGGTGTTACAGCTAAACACTCATTCTTGAACCCAAGGCACTTGAGTTTTCTCGTAGGACTTTAACATAAGACATTTAGGTCCACAATCAGTTTTGAGTGCAAGGTATAATGTTGATGTCTAGATTCTTTTTTTTTTTTCTTTTTGTATGTGAATATCCAGGTTGGGAGCACCATTTGTTGCAAAGCTTGTCCGTTCTGCAATGAATTTTAACTGTTAACTATATATATATATATATAGCCAGCAGGTGACATGTTGGTTGAGGGTGCTGGACTCCCACATGACCAACTCTGGCTTGAGTTCTGGACCTGGCGGCTCTTGCTTTCTCACTTTCCTTCTCTCTCTTTCTCTCTCTCACTCTGTCCCTCTCCGGTCAAATTTAAATAAATAAATAAATAAAGTTAAATAAAATAATTCTTTTTTTTTTCATTTTTTAAAAATAATTATTTTATTTTTATTTATTCATTTTTTTTTAAATTTGACCAGAGAGAAACAGAGGTTGAGAGTGAGAGAGAGAGGAAGTGAGAAAGCAAGCCACCAGATTCAGGACTTGAACCCTGGTCGGCCATGTGGGAGTATCCAGCGCCTTAATCACCATGCCACCTGCTGGTCCCAATAATTCTTTAAAAACTACAAAAAAACGCAAAACTTCACTGGTAGTGTGGTGAGGAAGACCAGTAGGTATGTTTTCTTCAGTGACACGGTCCCTTCGTGCTCTGCATGGTCCTGAGCAAACCCTGCTTCAGGCTTGCGGTCACTGCAAAGGTACCAGGACAGAACTCGGGCAGCGTCTTCACGCGCTCCATTCTGTGTCACCTCCATGGCAAGAAGGTGTAAGCAGAGCATTGTGGGAGGGCCAGGAAGGCAGGCAGAGAGAGAGAGAGACAGGAAGCCTCCCTCACCTCCACCCCACCCCTGCCATGGGGCGTAGTCATGCTGCAATCCCTTCTCCTCCACTTCCCCATCCTGTCAGGCTTTGGGGGGGGGTACAGCGGGTGGCATGGTGGTTAGGGTGCTGGACACTCCCATATGACCCACCATGGTTCGAGTCCTGGACCTGGTAGTTTGCTTTTTCACTTTCTCTCTCTGGTCAAATTAAAAATAAATGAATGAATAAATAAAATTAAAAAAAAATAAAACTCACGCCAGGTGTGTATGCATGTGTGTCCCAAACCCTGAGAGAATGGAGAAGGGATTGTGGCATAGACAGCCCCCGTGGGAGGTGATTTCTGGCTTTCTGTCTCTCTGGTGAGCACATGCACTCTATAGCAAAAATCAGTCTCTCAAAAACAATAAAAAAGAAAAGAAAAGAAACCAACAAAAAAAGTAAGTTAGTTCATGGAAATTATATGAAAAAACTGTGGATTAAAAGTTTTTTTGCACCAAAATAAACTTTTTTATAATAGATTTTTGCTCAACCCCCAAGAGAGAGAAAGAGGGAAAGTGAGAAGTCACTCCTTGGGGGATGGCTGTGTTCCAGTCCAGTCTCCTCTATTCTCTTCTTGAGGTTGTGAGCACACATGCACACACATCTGCATGTTTTTCAAACTGCTGTGTCTGGGACTTGAACCTTACAGTTGGCCATGTGGGATATATCACCTTAACCACCATGCCACCAGCTGGCCCCACCTGAACTCCTATTTTAATTTCAATTTTCTGTGAGTTTTTTGAAGTACCTTCATGTATTCGTCATGACCACAGTCTTAGAAAATACTCTTCTGTTTGCTGTGTCCTGCACAGAAAGGAGAGCCGCCTGCCTGTGTTCGCAGCTCCGGCTCTCCCTGCCGGCACTTACCATTGCACTTCCGCAGTGACGCGTGAGCCGCTGGGTGTTGTCACTCACGGTTGTCCCTCCACGAGCCTGACACCCTTACCTGGCTTGCTCCTTTTATCGCAGCACCTGGTACATGGTAGATGCTTCCTAAGGGGATGGGTGGGTGGAAAGACGGATAAGTAAACGGGTAACGGGAGGGCCGTAACCATGGTACTGCCGTCGTGGGACTGTGTGCTGGTTTCCGTTGTGCTGTAGGGAGTGTGTGCTCGCCAGAGAAAGACAGGGAGATGCCGAGACGGGAAGTGAGAAATCACCCTCCAGAGGGATGGACACGCCCCGATCTCTTCTCCTCCAGTCTCCTCTTGGGATTTTGGAATGCACACATGCATCTGGCATGATTTTCTTTTCTTTTAAAGAATTATTCAATTTTATTTGTTAGTATTATTATTTGAAAGAATATTTTATTTAACTTTATTTATTTACTTATTTTAATTTGACCAGAGAGGGACAGAAAAAAAAGTGAAAGTGAGAAAGCAAGCCTCCAGGTCCGGGACTCAAACCACAGTTGGCCATGTAGGAGTCTAGTGCTCTTAACCACTATGCCACCTGCTGACCCCACTATTATTTCTTAAATTTGATCAGAGAGAGAGGGAAAGTGAGAAAGCAAGCTTCAAGGTCCAGGACTCGAGCTGCTATTACCCATGTGAGTGACACCACCACCCCACCTGCCAGGCCCCCAGCAAGATTTTCAGGCCACCAGATCCGGGACTTGAACTGCATAGTCAGTCACATGGGCTCCAGCACCTTAAACTCCACACCACCTCACAGTCCCTTGGCCAAGTCTTTTAAAATCTCACTAGAAATGAATGATTCCTGTGATTGGCTGATCATTAGAATTTCCAAAGTAATTTTTAAAAGGGCATGGAGATTTGTTCCTCGCTAGCTCTCGGTCCTGGTGGTTATTTTGAAAGTCCTTCCTCACTGCATTTCTGATGATACAGGGACAAGAGGGCTGCCAGCAGAGTGTCCTGACGTGGACACTTGACCCTCTTCAGTGCTCCGCTTCGTTCACGGCTCGCATAGCGGCTAGCTCGGTGCTGCAATGAGCGGCGTCTGTTTTTCATTTAAACTGTAAGCTACTGTGTCGCAGAGTTCATGTCCCAGTCTATGTGTCTGTAAAGCACACTGGGGCCACTTAGACCAGGGGCTGGCCCAACCAAGAACCTGCATGGTTTTGCCAGGTCTAGAGAGGGTCTCTTATTTTATTGGGTCATTGGGAAAGTCGTGACACATTTTTGCATAGAAAAAACATAAAAATACATCATGACCTTTCTGATGGCCTGATAAATGACCGGTTCTCCCACGGAGGGGACATTTTACACCTGTCAAGTGCTCATGGTCATTGTATCAGTGAGAGGTAAGCCGTGAGGTCAAGGAGGCGAGCCCCAAACCGAGGCTCCTGTTACTCGCTCTGGTTCTCACAAAACCCTTCCCGTCAGGCCGGAGATCACTCTGATGCCCACTCGTGGGATAAGTAATAACAGTGACAGTAGGGACCAGCAGTTAGCGTAACGGCTATGTTGCCGAACTCCCATGTAGTCAACTGCGGTTCGAGTCCCAGACTTGATGGCTTAAACTCATGCCGGGCGCATGTGCGTGCGTGCCCAAGATCCTGAGAGGAGAGTGGAGGAGAAGGGATTGCGGAGTGGCCATCCTCCCTGGGGGGGTGATTTCTTGCTTTCTGTCTCTCTGTCTCTGTCTCTCTCTTTCTGGTGAGCGAAAAAACCCCCCAAAAAAAAAAAAAAAAAAAAAAAAAAAAAACAAAGTGACAGTAATTTCTTCCAACTTTGCCAAATTGCAGTCACGAAGCTCTGATGAACTTTCCCTTTTTCTATCAAGGAAGAAAAACAGAAAAAGAAAATGGCCGCAAAGTTGGAACTAGCCAAGTTTCTTCAGGAGACAATTACAGAAATGGCCAGGAGGAACCGAGCCAAGCTGGGAGAGGCCTCCACCCAGCTGTCGTCCTACGTAAAGCAGGTGTCGGTCTTCACGTACCCGCAGACGGTTTCCAGGCTGGGGGTGACCTGAACAGTGCATGCTGCTACGATCTTCCAAGTTATTGTCAGTCTCTGAAGCTGCAGATGAAGCTGTAATCATGTACTAATGTAAACATCGAATGCTGTGCACATTTGTAGCCGTTTGTAGAAAAGCCTGTCTTAGAGAAATCAGTGTGTCGAAGATGCTGACAACTTCTTGGGAAGAGCAGTAGGGTTAGAGTCAAGCTTCTGAACTACTCCTGGCTTTTCGGGTGATTTGGTTTGACTTGAGACAGCTTTCTTTACTCCTCCTTGAACCACAGGGCTCATTTCCAGATGTCATATGGATGCCATTCATCTCTGGCTTTCTTCACTGTTTTCTGATTTCTTATTTACATGCAACCATTGTGCATGTCCACAGCACACACTATGGCGTTTTCCAGGTATCCATGTCACATACTTGTGACAGTCAAGTCAACCACATGACCACAGACATCACTTTCAGCAGAGACCTTTACAGTCTCGCGTCTGTTAGTGCTCCTTCAGAAATGCGGGAGCTTCATGAATGGGTGTCACCCTCGTGCAGGGGCCGTGCTGTCTCCTCTGCCTTCCAGTTTCGGCCTGTGTGCTGCTGGAGTGAGCACGCCCGTCTTTTCCGAATCACCCACCAGGGAGGTTAAATTCGTAGGGAGCACTTCTTTTCTTTTCGAGATTTTTTTCCCCCATAGGGTGTGTGTGCTCACTGGAATGATAGAGAGAGACAGAGACGGAAAGCAAGAAATCACCGCCCAGAAGGGATGGTCACATCACAATCTCTTCTCCATTCTCTTGAGATCTTGGGCACACACGCACACACACCCAGTGTGTTTCAAGTCACCAGATCTGGGACTCGAGCCACAGTCAACCACGTGGGAGTCCAGCGCCTTAACCACTATGCCACCTGCTGGCTTCAGGAACACATTCTAATGAGCCTCTGTCCCACTGCCTAGGTCCAGACAGGCCACAAGCCCAGCACAAAGGAGATTCTTCGCTTTTCCAAACTGTTTGAGGACCAGCTGGCCCTGGAGCATTTAGACCGGGCTCAGCTGGTGGCGCTCTGCAAACTCCTCGAATTGCAGACCTTTGGAACCAACAATTTGCTCCGCTTTCAGCTCCTGATGAAACTGAAGTCTATAAAGGCAGATGACGAAGTAAGCGCTTGCCCCGAGCTGTAGGGAACTGGCAGGGCCCTGGAGCCGTGCTAGGGTGCCTTTCTGATGGAAGGCGGTGCTTTCTTTTGGGCCTGGTCGTGGACAGTTCTGGCAGAGTGGTTTAAACGGCCACTCTCGTGACAACCTGGACCTGGGTCGCTCGTTTCAGGAGGTGTGTGTACTGTGCTCCGACCCGTCTTCTTGCACAGGCTGGCGTTAGCTGTCGGCAGTTGGATTCTTAACTGGGAAGGATCGGGAGCCTTGACTCCTGCTGGGGTGGACTTGGAGGAAGGGGTGGCAAATCTCAGGCTGGAGGGAATGGCAGCTGGCATCTTGGGGAGGCAAGGCACCATTTGGCCCATAACTACTAATTAAACGCCTTGAAAAATATAAAGACTGTCCCTTGAATCTGAATCACTGCTTGAAAGCATTCTGCTGAGGGAGCAGGTGCCCTGGAAGTGGAGAAGCACGACCCTTCTACCCCACCTAACTCCCCGCATCACCTTCAGAATCTAGGAGTAGACAGTATTGGTCCTGGAAGTCCCACATTTGGGTCACACCAGGCACAGACTGTGTTATTTTAGGGGGTAGTTTTGGGACCAGAGTGCCACCATTCCTGGGTGGTAGTAGGGGTGGTGGGAAAAGCGCCCCAGGGACAAACAGCACATCGAAATCTTCCTCATGGGCTTCTTGTTCCCAAGAACCCAAAGGCTGCCATGGAAGGAGTAGATGTCACAGCCAGGCAGAATGCAAATCAAGAGGGTTGATGACGACTTTGGTGACAAAATGCTGGGGAGGTGTGATGTAAAGGTGTCTGGTGTTTGTACCCCTGGGCGGGACTTCCTTCATCCCAGCTGCCTTCCCAAGCCACCTGCGTGCTTGGGCTCCTGGCCTTTGCCACAGAGGACCGAGTGTTAGAGCTTCAGGGCATGTGCATTTCTGCTGACTGGCCGGACTGTACGGGCGGTGCAACCCCGGAAGACGACCCAACGCCTTTCCTTACATTTCTTGCAGATAATTGCCAAAGAAGGGGTGAGGGCCCTGAGCGTGTCGGAGCTCCAAGCGGCCTGCAGGGCAAGAGGGATGCTGTCGCTGGGTCTCACGGAGGAGCAGCTGCGGCAGCAGCTCACAGAGGCGAGTGGCAGTGCCCAGCCTGCCCCACTGGCCCTCTCCCTACCACCTGCACCCACCCTCGTTGGTTTTGTGATTTCTGCGTGGCAAGGGAGTCCTTTTACCTAATGGCCTTATTTACCGAGCACTAGGACGCTGACGAAGCTCGGTTTATTTTCCACTTTGCATCGTGGTTCCCTACCGCTGTGTAACCAGTGACCACTACATACCACAGGTGGCAGGGCGGGTCGTCTTCCTTCCGAGGCTGGGGGGCGCCTCAGCTGGGCTCTCATTCCTTGCTGGCAGCCCTGGTCCCCTCCCAGGACCTTGAGGCCCTTCTACCCCAGCACCCTCCTTCATGCTTCCAGCTTTTGACTTCACACTCCAGATTCCAAGGTGTCATGTGATTAGGTAAGCCCTTCCCATCCCCATGTTAGTCCCCTGGCTTGGGGCCTCAGTCACATCTGCCTGGGCCCTTCATAGGGCACCTACAATAGGCTTCGAGTAACCAGGAAAGGGTGCAGCAGGCGTGGGCAATCTTGCAGCCACCTTGGGATTGGGGCAGCTCCTGGTGCTGGAAGGGGCCGGCCTGTCGTCTGCGTGCGTCCATCTGCAGGCCCGCAGCTGGCCCTGCTCTGCCTGGCCCTGCTTTCTTCATCAGCGTCCCGGGCCAGTGCCAACTGTCAGCTCTGGCAGCAGATGCCCAACCTCCCCCGGGGAGCATGTTTGTATTTTCTATTTTTGGAGAGTTTTTTTTTTTTTCTTTTTTCTTTTGCTATAGGGCGTGTGCACTCACCAGACAGACAGAGAGAGACAGAGAGATAGAAAGTGAGAAATCACCCCCCAGGGGGGATGGCCATGCCACAATCCTTTCTCCTCCTTTCTCCTCTCGGGATCTTGGGCACGCACGCACACGCGCCCGGTGTGAGTTCTAAGCCACCGGGTCCGGGACTCGAACCATGGTCGACTACGTGGGAGTCCAGCAACATAGCCATTACGCCAACTGCTGGCCCCGCATGTTTGTATTTTCACTAGGAGCACTGGTGCTTTAGAATGAGTGAGTAACTCCTGTTGCGTGCTCACTCCAGCAGCTGTAGACAGTGCTTTAAAGCAGACACTGTGACTTCGGAATGGAGCTGCTGGTGGCTCTGAAACAGCGTCAGATCAGTGTCCTCCTATGTGTTGGGCTAGCTCGGGTTGGAAGATAAGCATGTTGTAGACAGAAATACTTAAAATCATGTGTTTCTTTTTCCTTTTAAGAATTTTTTATTTAACTTTATTTATTTATTCACTTATTTTAATTTGGTCAGAAAAGGACAGAGAAAGAGAGAGAGCAAGCTGCCAGGGCCACGACTTGAACCGCGATCAGCCACGTGGGAGCCCAGCACCTTTAATCACCACACCACCTGCCAGCCCCTCTTTTTCTTTTTTTTAAAGAATATTTGGTTAGGAGCTAGCAGATAGCATAATGGTTATGTCGCTGGACTCCCACATGGCTGACTGTGGTTTGAGTCCTGGACTCAGTGGCTTCAAATTCACACTGGGTGCGTGTACATGCGTACCCAAAATCCCAAGAGGAGAATGGAGAAGGGATTGCGGCATGGCCATATCCCCTGGAGGGTGATTTCTTGCTTTCTGTCTCTCTTTATTTCTTTGTCTCTCCAGCAAGCACACTCTCCCTATAGCAAAAATCTCTCTCTCTAAAAAAAAGAAAAGAATATTTGTTTAATTTTTCTTCTTATTATTATTTTAAAATTTGACCAGAGAGAGAGAGAAAGCAAGCTGCCAGGTCCAGGACTTGAACTGTGATCAAGTGGGAGTCCAGTGCCTTAACCACCACACTACTTGCTGATTCCCCTGTGGATCATGACGTTTAAAACCGAGTTGTAGGGGGCCACCAGATGGTGTTGTGGTTATGGTGCTGGACTCCCATGTGGCCCATAGCAGTTTGAATCCTGGACCCGTGGCTTGAAACTCACTCTAGGTACATGTGCCTGCGTGCGTGCCCAAAATCCCAAGAGGAGAATGGAGAAGGGACTGCAGCATGGCCATCCCCATGGTGGGTGTGTGTGTGTGTGATTTCTCGCTTTCTGTCTGTCTCTGTTTCTCTGGCAAGCAAGCGCATATGCCGTGTAGCAAAAATCTCTTCCAAAGAAAGAAAGGAGAAATATCCCGTGGTAGTGTACGTGCAGACGTGTCACAGGAGGGAAGGTTTCAGTAGTAAACGTGAAATAGCTGAACTGAGTCAGATAACTACGACGAGGACAGCCACTTCACCTGTCGTCCTGGCGAGGGCAGGTGAGGTGTGGGCCAAGGGACACTCCTGCGCTGCTGGTGAAGGCTCCGTGGAGAATCGTTTGTCAATACCTTTCAAAGTTTTAACGTGCATATACTCTTGGACCTACCAATTTCACCTGTGGGACTTTATTCTGTATTTTTGCACTGGAAAAATGACATATCTATTGATAGGTTATCCACACAGCACCATTTACATTAGAAACAAGATTGGAAATAGACTAGAAGTCATTGGTTCCACACGATGAACTTTCAGGTGTCTAAATAGAGGCAGCCCCATAGCCACTGATATGGATCAGCCTGTACGGTATTTCTACGAAAAAAGCCAAGGACAACATGCTGTGTATGTGGTGCTTTTCGCATAAGGATAAGAGAAGTACTTAAACATGGGCGTGAGCAGGTGGTGTAGTGGTTAAGGCGCTGGACTCCCCACATGGCTGACCACGGTTCGAATTCCTAACCCAGGGGCTTGAAACTCAAGCCAGCCGGGCCTGTGTTGGTGCATCCCCAAAACCCCAAGAGGAGAGTGGAGAAAGGACTGCAGCGTGGCCATTCCCTCGGGGTGGTTTCTCACTGTCTCTCTCTCTGTGTCTCCAGTGAGCACATGAACCCTATAGCAAAACATCTCTCAAAACAACAAAAGTCCATAAACATGAATATGCACAGGCTATCTCTGCAAGATTACACAAGTGACCTGCTACTGATGGTTGCTTCCAAGGGATAGGGTGGCTAGAAAAGAAGAGTTAGGCAGGTTTATTTTATGGTCTGCCACATCCCCTTCCCCCGTCTGTCTAGCCTGCCGGGCCCTGGGCACTGGTGGGCATGCCGGGCATGTCTCAGGCCTACCAGGCCCGGGATCTGAAACGCGGTCACGTGGGATCTGGCTCCCCTTGGGCATCACTGCAGCGCCCTGCGGCCAGCCCCTTTTCTGTTTACCTTTGGAGTTTTGTCTCCTGCGCCTGTGTTACTGAGCTAAAGCCATAGCTTGAAAAAGCATGGCCAATTTGGGACTCCCTGAAGCTTACATCTCGTTGTCATTTTAATGTTTATTTCTTTGGGTATTATGAGGCCGACACAGCTTTTCCCGTTCTCCACCTCTGTGTCGAAGAGCAGGCACTTGGAGACGGAGAGGTCAGTTACACTCGTGGCCCACCGGGGGGTCGGAGCAGTTGGTGCCACAGTGCTCCCGGTACTGAGAGGTGCTACCCAGTCATCCCAGGAGCTGGGGGAAGCTGAGGAGGAGGAGCCTGGGTCACCTCGGGCTCTAGCAGCCTGTGATTCTGTCGTGCTTCTCGCTCTGCAGTGGCAGGACCTCCACCTGAAGGAGAACGTCCCTCCTTCTCTTCTGCTCCTGTCGCGCACTTTCTACCTGATAGACGTGAAGCCAAAGCCCATCGAGATACCAGTGAGCAGGGAGGTGAGTGAGCACGGTTCTGCGTTCTCTCGGGGATCTGGATTCCTCTCTCTCTCTCTCTTTTTCTTTTTTTAAAGAATTATTTACTCATTTATTATCATTATTTTTCCATTTGACTGTAGAGAGACAAAGTGAGAGAGAGAAAGTGAGAAAGCAAGCCACCAAGTCCAGGACTTGAACCATGGTCAGTCATGTGAGAGTCCAGGGCCCTTAATCACCATGCACCTGCTGGCCCGACACACTTGTTTTTAAAACCCAATTTACGGGGTCCAGCAGGTGGCATGGTGGTTGGACTTCCACATGGTTGGCCACAGTTTGAGTCTTGGACCTGGCGGCTTGCTCTCTCACTTTTCCTTTCTCTCTCTCTCTCTCTCTCGTGAGCACATGTGACCTATAGCAAATTACATAATTCTAAAAGATAGGTTACTGGGGCTGGCAGGTGGTGTGGTGGTTAAGGGTGCCGGACTCTCACCTGGCCAACTGTAGTTTGAGTCCCGGACCTGGTGGCTTGCTTTCTCACTTCCTCTCTCTCTCTCTCTCACTCTGTCCCTCTCTCATCAAATTAAAATAAATAAATTAATTAAGAAAAAAAATTAGAAAAATAAGATAGGTTAGTTAGCTATTCTACCACCTCTTTCCTTTTTGTTTTTTTGTCATAGGGTACATGCACTCACCAGAGAGAGACAGAGAGACAGGGAGAGACATTGAGAGGGTAAGTAAGAAATCATGCCCCCAGTGAGGGGGAGGGATGGAGATGGCCGCACTGCAATCCCTTCTCTTCCACTCTATCAGGACCTTGGGCATGCATGCACACACATGTGCCCAGCATGACCTTGAAGCTACCTGGTCTGGGACTTGAACCACAGGCAACCATGTGGGAGTACAGTGCCTTAACCACCATACTACCTATACTACCTGCTGGCTCCAACCACCTTCTATTTTTATCTGGCATCTAACCTAATATGTATTCTTTTTTTTAAAAAAGAATTATTTTATTTAACTTTATTTATCTATTCAATTTGACCAGAGAGGGACAGAGCAAGTGAGCGAGTGAGAGGGAGAGCGAGAAATTGAGAAAGCAAGCCGCCAGGTCTGGGGCTCAAATCCCGGTCAGCCATGTGGGAGTCCAATGCCCTTAACCACACCACCTGTCTCTCCCCCCCCATTATCTATTCTAATACCATCCTCACATTTTCCTCGTCACTGGAGCTTCTTTTAAGCAACAGCCACCATTTTAGTAGGTCGGGAAAATGTATCATTTATTATGAGATACTAAAAATGACAAAGCTGTCCCTTTTGACTAGGTTATGTCAGTGGTACTAGAACCTGATGAGCAATTGAGAAATAGCAACTTCTTTTGGAGACTGAGAACAGGCAAATTAGTGGCTTCTTAATGAGTAAGGATTTTAAATACTAGAATCTAATTAGGTTGCAACTTTCATGTAAAGACTGCTCAAAACTCAAAGGGAACAATCCAAACTTGCTACTTCAGGGACATACTTCAGATGTTACTCAGAAAGGGTGTTTGTTGTTGGAGGCGGAAGTTAGGGATTTAATGGAAAACCAATTGTGCTAGAAGGCATTGACTACTGCAAAAGAGCCGGCGTCCGGAAGAGCAGGACGCTTGTGCTTATGTGAGTATTCCTCTCCCTAGGCTCCAAAGACAGATCTTCCCGTGGGCTCACCTGAATCTAAGGAGACCATGCTGGATTCTGCACCCCAACTGAAGGGAACTAAGGTCAGACAGTGACATTCCATTTGGTGGACTAGGTTAAAGAAAGTGAAAATGCCAAGTTCATTTTCTCTATTTTTGATCTCTAATCTGTTCTTAATGCCTCAGAGTGAATTTGGGTACAGTAGTTCCCCAATAAGGAATATTTGTTGTGCTGTTTGATCTATTTCTTTCTTTTTTTTTTTTTTTGGTCTTGTTTTTGTTTTTTCCAAGAATTATTTTATTTAGGGACCAATGGATGGTGTAATTTCTGGACTCCCATATAGTTGACAACAGGTTGAGTCCCGGACCTGGCGGCTTAAAACACACTAGACATTCGTGCATGCATGCCCAAAATTCTGAGGAGAATGGAGGGATTGCGACATGGCATCCCCATATGGGGTGATTTCTCACATTCTCTCTCTCTGGCAAGTGCACATGCCCTATGGCAAAAATCTCTCAGAAATATTTAATTTTATTCATCATTATTATTTTTTTTAATTTGGCAGAGAGAGAAAGTAAGAATGTAAGCCACCAGGTCCAGGACTCAAACCATGGTCGGCCATGTGGGAATCTGGTGCCTTAACTACCACGCCACCTGCTGGCCCCTGTTTGATCTATTCCTAAGGCAGTTCAACATTTGGCTACTTGTAATTAGGTTCCAGATTTGCCTTTCGAATTCCATGCCGGAATATGAAATCGTTGTTGCGAGTCCTGGTAGTCCTGGCGGTGTGACGTAGACTCACGGCACATCTGTTTAAGTCGTGACCTAACTCTCAATTCTGATGATCAAGGATGAAGAATTTATAAAACTGCCACCCGTTCCTCCATCGCCCATGACACCAACAACACCCATTTCATTGCCTAATGGATCGATCACTTCTTCTAAAGAAGCTGTAAGTATCTTAAGAAAAATAAACAAAAATAAGCAAGCCCTTCCCCTCTAGTTATCTCTAGGGTAGCGAGAATCTTGAATTATAACTGTGGCAAAACACCGCACGATTCCTGTTGTCCAAACAGGAAGTTATAGGCTGACTTTGGCCATCTTATAACCACTGCATTTTTTATAATTATCCAAAAGTGGAAAAAAGTCCACCAGTGCAGTGGTGGATCAGACTGAAACATGTTAAGTCTAGAAGCTAATTACAACATAGGCAGGTCCTAATTTTCTTATACGCCAGATGGAAATAGTTTCCATCCGCTGTGTGTTGCACACAGGCTTCCGACGTCAGGAAATACTAGCAGGAGGACAATTTAAATACTAGGAGAAATGCACGTCAATAAGGAATCACTGATCTACCCACTTTCCCAATGTGGGTAAGGAACGTGGTGCAAGAGCAGAGAGCACGACATGCGTACACAGTAGGGAGGTCACGCGGTCATTACGTGTGCACCGGCTCCTGAGGGCTCAAGAAGCTGCTGGCAGAATGACCGTGAACGTGCAGGTGAGGGCCAGCACGTAGCTGGGTGCTGGGAGCCAGGTCCCGCATAGCTGAGCGCAATTCCAATTCCGGCTCGCTGGCTTGAGAAACGCTCCAGGCAGAGTGTGCGGCCGCAAATCCTGACCGGAAGGAGAGGGAGGGAAAAGGATTGCGGCATGACCGTGCCCCACTGGGGGACTCTCTTTGGTGAGCACATTTACCCTCTGGCAATGAAAGAATATACAGGTGGGGTAAACCCCCAGAAAATGACCCCAAGGCACGGGCCCTGCATGTCTGTTAGGTAAACGCGAGCTCAGGGACTTTGTGGCCTGAACAGGAGCTCCCAAGGCACTGACAGCCAGTGACCAGTGCCTAAAGTCCTTTTCTGCGCCTAGACGCTCCAGGCCGAATCACAGAAGACGTCTCAGAACAGCAAGGCCAGCTCCAAAGGAGGGTAGAGTCCTCGGATGCAGCTGCCTGCAGCTCCGCCCTCCTGCCCTGTGCGGTGGCTCCCACAGAGCTGCCAGCAAGACCGTCTGTCCGGTTTGAGACCAAGTCGGCCATAGTGGCCCTGCCACCATCCCAGATGTCAGCAGCAAGGCCAAGCTCAGACTGCTTAGAGAAATGCCCTTGCAAAGTCTGCTTCCTCCGGGCCTTACGTCATCCCCTGAACTTGGTGTTAACAGCCTCCCCACTTCGTCCATACGGAGCAGCCTTCCTGGTGTGCGTCCTTTAAGAGGGGACGTTTCTGCATAATGGAGTCAGCCTGGCGCCTCTGTCTCCTTTGGCTTGGAATCCTGAGTAAGAACTTGGAAATGCCAAAAACCTCTTCGAATGCCTCTGATCCCCCTTTGCACAGTGGCCCGACAGAGGGAACAGGGCCCTGGAAACGGAGCACCTCACAAGGTGGGATGCAAATACTCCCCAGGAAGGCCTTTCTGGATATAAAGAGAACTCGGGGGAGTGGGAAGCGAGACTGGCAACCAATGGCCACTGCCCAGCTGTTCTGACAGGCACTGCCCCACCCCGGCTGGCAGGGGCTCAGGACTGGGGCAGGAGGGCCGGCTCTAGCACACGTGGCTTTCATTAGCTGCCATTTTGCTAGGACACGCAATCGGGTTTAAGGCCCACCCGCTGTTTGTGCTGGTGTGTTCTGCTTGGTGGTTTCTCATGAGTAAGACTGTTTGTTAGGCACAGGGGACAGTGCCGCTGACTCACACGGGTGTCCGGCATCGCAGTACCGTTGAGGGAAGGCACTGGACGGGCAGATCCCCCATGGCTGACCCGGGGCGGTCTTTCCTTGGGGAGGCATTGGGGGGCCAAGGCCAGTGGGTGGGTGTCAACGCGCCATGGTAAATCAACCCGCCCTGCCCGGGACTACAACATGGGAAGCACACCTGTATGTCAGGGCAAGGGCCCACATGTCCCTCCCGCTGTCCTCCAGGATCCCTGCTGTGGGGACACAGCGACCCACGGGGCCTGCCTGGGGCCTAGGAGGTACTCACAATAAACTTTTCCCATTTTAAAAATGATGGGTGTTTACCTCAATTAGCCCACATTTCTGGTGTTAGACGTGGGAAAGGGATTAGCCGACTCGCTCCATCCTGTTCGGCTGTGACTCACAAGCACTGCCGGGCTGTCCCAGGCCTGCTTTCCCTGACAGTGGGACTGCTCAGGGCAGGGCTGGTCACTGCTGGCCCAGTTGGCCCCACCCACTTGTGCTACATCTAGACTGGGCTCAGTCCATCTCCCCTCCCGGTCTGGTGGGAGCAGCTCAAAGGAGCCAAGGAGGTTTTGTTCGCCTCACTCCGGTGGCTGGGTTTTGGGCTGTCCTTGTAAGAGCTGGCCCCATGCCGAGCCCTGCCTGCGACCGACCCTGGGAGGATGGAGCCCTGGTGCATAGCATTCAGATTCCCGTTGGTACAGATTTTCCCACCGCGACACGAGGTCACCTAACAGTGCTGGGGAAAGCCAGCTAGCACACCGCCCGCCTGAACCCCGTTGGGGCCATGGCAGCCAGCTGGGCCTCCACTGTGCCAGGACATGCACCTGGAGGTAGCATGGCACAAGGGTCCTGGGTGCTGTCACCATCAACCGTGACGGAATCTGCCCCATGGAGTCTCTTTTTTGAGAGATTTTTGCTATAGGGTGCATGCACTCGCCAGAGACAGAAAGTGAGAAATCACCCCTCACGGGGGATGGCCACACCGCAGTCCCTCCTCCTCCATTCTTCTCCCGGGGTTTTGGGCATGTCCGCACACACACCGTGAGTTCCAAGCCGCAGGGTCCAAAAACTCCAAAACTCCAGAACAGTGGTCGACCTCGTGGGAGTCCAGCGACATTACCATTTGGCCACCTACTGGCCCCTGGAGCCTCTCAACATCTAGGCCCTTGCTGACCTCCCTCTCCCACTGTCGCTGGCTGGGAGGCAGGAGGCTCCTCTCCCTGACCTCCCCGCCTCTCCACGGGAGTCCATGCCTTGGCTCCACAGCGGCTGCTAATCCTGTGGATTCCAGGCAGCCTCCCAAACCCACCTCCAATGAGACTCCACCTGACCTGAGGCTGCAGCAGAGTTCACCACAGGGGCCTGGTGGCATGGGACACATGATCCTGCCCTCGTGCCATGCCTAACCCTGTGCTCCAGGCGTCACAATACACGCCACACTAGTGACATGGAGTCCGTGCTCTGTAACGCCAAAGCAACCGAGGGCCAACGCTGCTGGTAGCTCGCTGGCGCCACCCAGTGACCCGACTGCCATTCAGACAGATTTGCTGCTGCTGTTCAGTCTTAGCCCGATCAATACGTTACATTAGCAATGCCAAGGGACTGAGGATCCCAGCCTAAGGCAGGCAGTTAGAACAGGCGGAAAGGCAGGTCCTAATCTTGTAACCCTCAGGACACCAGACAGCTTCAGGGCCTTGACAACGCGACATCTTCATAAACCACATTCCTTCCCTCGAGAGGCCCGATCTGGTCACCTAAGTAAAATGGCCATTTCATTTTCTCTCAGGTCAATTTCACCATCTTTTATTTGACAGCCAGCTCCGTCTCGGGGGAAATGTGTGGGCAACCTGAGAAGTGACAGCGAGGACGTCACTGTCAGGGTCGGGTCCTTCTGCGTCCCTCGCACCTCTCTTGAAGGCACAGAAAGCCTTTTAAACCCGACATAGCTGAAGCAGGGCCATGGCACAATCAAGCCCGATTTTATAAGGAACGATCCACTAGAGGGTCGGGGAGCCAATGCCTTTCAGAGCTAAAATTCACTTCCTGTCTCTGTCATCAAATACAGGCCTTCTGGGGCCAGGTGGCATGGTGGTTAGTCGCTGGATTCCCACATGGCCGACTACGGTTCAAGCCTCGGACCTTGCACTTCCTTTCTCTCTTTCTCTCTCTCTGGTTGAATTAAAAAATAATATTAAATGGAAATAAATAATTATTTTTAAAAACATAGGCCTTCTTTGAACATAAACACAAATTCTAATGTTTTTTAAGAGAGAGATTTTTGTTACAGGACGATGCACTAGCCAGAGAGAAAGCAAGAGATCACCCCCAGGGGCGGCCATGCTGCAGCCCTCTCTCCCCCAGTCTCCACTCAGGATTTTGAGCACACGTGCACCAGGTCTGGGACTCGAACCGTGGTTGACGATGTGGGATCCAGTGATGTAACCATTACACCATCTGCTGGTCCCACAAATTATGATATGTTGAGAGATGCATATTTACAGAGAGAAATGAAAATAGAGCATTTTACAACAGTAACGGCACCTGCCTGACAGCACCCAGCTCACAGAGAAAACTTAAGAAAGCGGGACCAACAGTTAGCGTATTGGCTATGTCACTGGACTCCCACGTAATCGAACGCGGTTCGTGTCCCGGACCCGGTGGCTTAAAACTCACACCAGGCACGTGTGCGTGCGTGCCCAAGATCCCGAGAGAATGGAGAAGGGATTGTGGCGTGGCCATCCCCCCTGGGGAGTGATTTCTCTCTGTCTCTCTCTGTCTGTCTGG